GGCTAAGGAAGGATGCCTTTTTCAAATAATCACAACACTGCCAAAATATTAGTTTAATTACTCACATTTTTGCCCCTGATACATTTTTCATGTATAAGCAAGAGTTACCAATATTGTTGATTTTGCTGCAGAACTTTGGTGATGCTACTTTTAGAATACTGCGTAGAATTCTGGTTGCCCTTCTATAGGAAGGATATTGTTAAACCTCTGAGGGTGCAAAAAAGATTTACAAGGATGTTGCCAGGACTGGAGAGATTGAGTTAAAGGGAGAGGCTTAATGGGCTGGGACTTTTCTCCCTGGAGCATCGTAGAATGATAGGTGACCTTATAAAAGTTTATGAAATCATGAGTGGCATTAATAGGGTGAATAGCCAAGGTCTTTTTCCCAAGGTAGTAGAGGGCAAAGGTTTAAGGTGAGAGGGGAAAGATCTAGAAAGGACGTGAGGGGTAACTTTTTCATGCAGAGGGTGGTGCGTGTATGGAACGAGCTGCCTGAGGAGGTGGTAGAGGCTGTTACAATTACAAGATTTAAAAGGCATCTGGATGGGTATATGAATGGAAAGGGTTTAGAGGGATATGGGCCCAATGCTGGCAAATGGGACTAGGTCAGATTGGGATGTATAGCTGGTGTGGAGGTGTTCAACTGAAGGGTATTTTTCTATGCTGTATAACTGAATGGCTCCTTAACTTGACAGTAAGGGAGATATATTAATATGCATAGGTGATGCTGAAATAATCTGTGATTAATAATTCTTATTAAAATGCATATACTCACTGCCAGTGTCTGATATTTACATTTTTCTTTAAGTCTCCTGGGTTAGTGGTGTTGTAATCCCTGGACAAGTAAGGTCTGAGATGAGAAATTTAGTTTGATAGATCATATTTTGATTTGTTTTGGTTTTAATGATGTAACCTCTCAGTGAAACATTAACACACAATGCTGCTTGTTTTGACCATAAAACAGAAGTCTATTAACCAAAAGAAATATACAGAACAATCCGATCTATTTACTTATAACACAAAATGAAGCATTTTTAAACATATGCTAATAGTATCCCACTAATTTAAAAGCACACTTTTATCAATAACAAAAGCATCCTTTGTACAATACCCAGAAGTACCCATTGTATAGTATTCACACCAGACATCCTTTCTCTAATACTTCAATAAGTTTAATTTAAGTGTAGCTTTAACTCCCAGACTGGAATCACTGAGAACTGCTATTCTGGGCTATTTGACTTCTGAACGTAAAAGTACTTAACTTCAAATGACCCCGTCAGGGCTTTGCAAACACATTTGGTCTAGAACTATTAATAATTCCTTATCCTAAGGTACTCTCAAGTTAACATGTCCAACTATATTTTCCCTTAGTAGCAATTTTACACAAAATCTTTTCAGAGCTGCCCAAAACTGAAAAAGTAAAATTGAAGCAGGTATTTCCCTATAAGCTATGGGTATTTCCCCTAAGCTTATAAAAAAAACAAGTCCTGAAATTTATGATGGAACCTTGAAGCACATTCTTGCTAGATTGCAAGCTTTCTCAAGGTAAATAAAAGCCCATTAGTTCTCAAAACCAGCTCTCATAAATTATTTTGATTCTTTTTTAGAAAGAATGACCAAAGCTGCAGAGCCATTCACAAGTTAATTATTAATTCCATCAGACACACTGAAAAACCCACATGTTACAACTTCAAAGCTCCAGATTTTCAGATATCTTTCCAGACATGGTCTAATTGTTGAGTACTGGCCTGCTCCAACCATACTGTTCCCACTATCTCTGATGCATAAAGCATTAAAGGAATGTTCTGTGCCATTTCTATCATGTGATCATTCATTCTGAGAGCTTATACCAATCAGGAAAAATTGAATATATCCAGGCTGTTTTGTTGAGAAGAAGTGGATATTGAGTGGTCATCTGAAAGAGAACCTTATGATTATGGATGGGTAGGATAAGAGATTAGGAACAGGAGTAGGCCATTCAGCCTCTTGAGACTGTTCCATGACTCAATGAGATCATGGCTGATCTGTGGCTTAACTCTATATACCTCCTTTAGGCCAGGTCTCTTAAAGCACTTGCTTAACAGAAAAAAATTATCCATCTCCGATTTAAAAGGAACGACTAAACCAGCATCCACTGCAGTTTGTGGAAGAGAGTTCTAAACATCTGTCACCCTTTGTGTGTAGAAGTACTTCCTGACATCTCTCCCGAATGGTCTGGCTCGATTTCTCAGGCTATGCCTTCTGTTTCTAAAATCCCCAACCAGCGGAAGTAGTTTATCTACTCTGTCTTTTCCTGTTAATATCTTGAAGGCTTCAATCGGATCACCCCTTACACTTCTAAATTCTAGAGAAAACAAGCCTAATTTCTATAATCTCTCCTCATAACTTAAGTCCAGGTATCAATCTCCTAAGCCCGGACTGTATTCCCTCCAAGGCCAGATCTGCTCACAGTACTCTAAGTGGGTTCTGACCACGGTTTTGAATTGCTGCAGCATTAAGTTCTGCATCCTTATAGCCAGGCATCTAGATATAAAGACCAGCATTCCATTAGCTCTCCTGATTATTTTCTGTACCAGTTTGTGACATTTCAAAGATCTGTGCAACTGAGCTCCCAAGTCTCTTTGGACATCCACTGTATTTAACTTCAGACCATTTAGAAAGTACTGCTCTATCCCTTTTTGGTCCAAAATGAATAAGCTGACAGTTGCTTAAATTGAATTCCATCTGCCACAGCTTTGCCCTTTCACTCACTCTATCAATATCCCATTGTAATTTTATGCTATCATCTACAGTACCACCTAACTTTGTTGACAGGATAGAGTACAGGTGCTTCCACTCAGTAATTGGGACAGTGGTGAACACAGGAACTGGACAGCAAGGGAGAGGGCCTCCTAACTCCTGGGCTCTCCTTGTTGGCCCTCCAACCTCTTGCTTCTTCACCCTCTTTGCAATCTCACTCTGGGAGTTCTCCCCATACCCTCCTGCCCTGCACTACCACCTCACCACTGAAGCCCAGTTAAAAATCACGCACGCCTCCCTGTGCTTGCACAGTGGTGCATTATGTCACATGTCGACGCTACATGATGACGAGGGTGTCAGGAATTGTGCATTCCTGGATGAGCACGCATGCAGAGTTGCCTGCAGTTGTCAGTGTCAGCAAACGCTGTCATAAATAGGAGTCATTATTATTTACAATGGAAAGAAGTTTCTTTACACAGAGAGCTGATAGAATATGTCACTCTCTATCAAGAGGAGTAGTTAATTCAACTTGTTCAGCTGCATTTAAGCGCAAGCTAGACAAACAGAAGTCAGAAATAAGTAGAATCCATGCTGAGGTAAATAACAGTGAGAGGAGGCTTCAGAAGTGCATAAATGCTAGCATGGGCCTTTTGAGTTGAATGACCTGTTCCTGTGCTGAATAAACCAAGTGAATACTATGTCCTGCTGAAACCGGAGGATACGTTTTGGACAGAACCATATAAGTCACAATAGAATGAAATAAAAATGACCTACTGTGACAGTGGGGAATCTGAAATAAGTAGAAAACCGAAAATGCCGACACCAATCAGGTAAGGTAGCGTCCTTGGAGAGAGCATCAATAGTTCTTGTTATATTTTCCATTCCTAACAATGCCTATATATTTCAGAGCAGCACAAAGAGAGCTGTCAGAGCATCCCACTTTACACTTTATCCATCTAACACACACACAAGATATAATGCTGAGAGATAGCTGTTGGTGTCTTAAGAGTGGGGATGCAATTGAAGATTAGAAGCATTAATTTTCTTGATCTTGAGTTCTGATTCCAAAGTTATGTGCATAGGGCCCATCAGGATGTAACCTGATAAGATTTTATCCATCTCTGGAGATTTTTGCCAAGGATAAATCACACTACAAAATTAAGTGTTTCAGCATATGGCCTTGGATATGGATTTCACTAGAAGCTACAATAAAATACAAGAACACAAACACAAGACCGCAAGAACTAGAAGCAGCTAGGCCATTTAGCCTTTTGAGCCTGTTTCGCTATCAATAAGGTCATGGCAGATCGGATTGTGACCTTAACTCCACTTTCCTCTTGCCCCCTACAACTCTCGATGCCCTTGTCAATCAAAAATCTATCATCTCAGTCTTAAATATGTTAAATGAGCAGAGGTCTTCTGGTAACTGCAGTCCCTGCACATCACTGTGTTGCATCAGAAGCTCTGCAATGACAACTTGTAGAGCCATAACTATTCACTCTTTTACAAAAAGACTGCTACGGTAAATATACTGAGATAACCAATCCACCCATACTCTCCATTCTTTAATTCTCATACTCATGTTCTCATATGAGTACTCATATATACTCCATTCTTATACTCTCTCCATTCAACACGTCAGCTCTCCAAACATTACAACAAAATATTTGACGAGAAGTACAATTTGTTCTAATTCAGTAACGCAAATGTGACTAGGCAGGAGTTTATGCTGAAACCTCTCAGCTACATGTGGTGGAGAAGGACAGTAGAGAATGGGATGGCGAGGTTTTTGGGGAGCAGGCAGAAGGGTGTTCAGGGCAGCACAGGTAATGAGATGGTGAGCACAGTGAGAAACAGGGGAGTGGGGAACAGGATATCAAAGCGAACGGTGAATGAGATATCCAAGCATTAGCAAGTTGGGTCCCAAGGGAGACTGCACAACTTCCAGTTCTGGTCCCAGTGCCATTTGGACGTGCAATGAAGACATTAGTGAGATTCCGATTCCAGAGTAAAGTAGTTATGTTGGTGGTGCTGACTTTCTGGGCAGGGAATAAAAATGTAATATTTGGAAATGAATTTACTGGTCATACAGAAACTCCACTTCAAAATGTACAAAATGATTTGGACCAGTTTGTCTCATTTACCAGTTTTATGTCTTGGCCTTCTGGGTTCCTGTCCCAGTGTGTCAATAGGAGATAGACTTTTTATTTATTTGCACCCAAATTAATCTTTGTTTGCAATATATGTCTTTATTCTTTCAGGAAGCCTTTCTGCTCTCCTCAGATCAAAGTGGGGCCCATTGAAAGATAACATCTCTACCATTGTGTTTTACACCAGACAGATCCTGGAGGGCCTACAATTTCTCCATGACAACCAGATTGTGCACAGAGACATTAAGGTGACTTCTCTAAATTGACATGAGAAGTGTCAGTCTGAGTTCAAATTGGATTGAAAGAGAAAACCCTGTGAAAATGATTGATTATCATTTCTTAACATTTCTGCAATACCTTTCATACGTACCTCCAAAGCGAAGCAATTTTTGAGGCACTAACTAATAGCAGATAAATCGTGTTGCTCTCATCATTGTATCATCGATATTGGATATTCCAACAGTTTTTATTTGGAAATGAGGTTTTGGATAAAATGGCGTCCCATATATATTTTATTTAAGTTCTATCAAAGATTTAAAAGAAATTTCTTTCTGTCATGTATAGGATTTTTAAATAGAATGCGAGGGAACTTCATTGGCTTATGGAAGTTACTTACCAATTGATTTATGTCATAGAATCTGGAATACTCTACTCATAAAGGCTGTGGATGCCAGGGACAATTGAGCTTTGCAAGACTCAAATCAATAGATTTTCTTTTGGTAAGGGTATTGAGAAATTAAGACAAGTAAATGAAGTACAGATTAGTCTTCACTTGATTGAAAGGTGAAGCACGATCAAATGGTGGAATGGCCTCCTTTCGTATATTGCTGTTGATCTTAAAGTCTGACATTTAAATACCATTTTCCTTTTATAAAAGACGGCAATAACTAAGAAATTAATTTGGCAATTATTATGGCTATCTAATCCTCACGTTTTTATTTTCTTGGAATTATTTTTGAACTCGTGAAGATCTTTTTAATTTCAGGGAGACAATGTTCTTGTAAACACTTACAGTGGAGTGGTGAAGATCTCAGATTTTGGAACATCCAAACGATTGACAGGAGTGAATCCTTGCACTGAAACATTTACTGGTAAGAGGGCAAAACCAAAAGACTAAACATCTTAACCCTCATAGGTCTGGGTGCTGGAAGGGCTAGGAAGCAGGTTCATCACCTCCCAGATGTGTCAAGCTTCTAAATTGTTTAATTGATATCCCAATTTGAAAACAGTGGACAAGCAGTCTGACCCTTCCACAAAGAACTCATTGAACTCTTCAGCTATAGGCTTTTGTTTTTCAGTCTAAAGTCTGCTCTGGCCAAGAACTGGCTTGAACTTCATTCTGGGATTAATAAAGGCTCGAAAGGAACAAATAACAACACAGAATGAATGGGAGTCACTAATTTTATTGCAAAGAACATTACCAAACAAAATATAGAAATCTGTGACAGGCCTTGGGAAATATTAGGCCTTTTCTTCTCAAGGAAGCATTTTATCTCTACTTGCTAAAAATACCTTTTGAGTCGGAAAGTGAAAAGCCCAATTCCAGTATTTAGCTCAGGTAGTTGGATGGCTGCTTTGCAGTGTGGAACAATACCAACAGTGTAGGTTCAACTCGCGTACCAGCTGAGGTCACCATAAAGGCCTTTGTTTGTGATGGTTAGTATATAACTGCACTTTTTAAAAAACTTTATTTCTTTAATTGTCAGCCAGTATTCGGATCAAAAGAATGATTTTCTGCTATTCTCCTAGTATATTGAGAAAGTGAAATTGTAGCTCCTGATTAGTGGAACAAATCAGTCTCATTATGATGATGTGGTCCAAGGATGCCGATGGCAATAATTGGGACAGAATTGTAATAGACTGCTGAGCTGCTGTAATCCAATTTAAGTTACAACATGAAGTCAAGATCTAACCACTTTGCTCTCTATTTCTATCTTGGTTACACTTTAAGTTTGATGTCAGTTACATGCTCTTATTAAATGTGGAGTGCATTCTGTTCTTTTTTAATTTATTCATCTTTTTCCATTCATTTTTATTTTCTTGCCCTCTCTTTCAACCGCAGAAGGTGGAAATCCTAATCCATCTGTGGGCTCCTGGTGACATAACTGGCACTGCCCCCTGCTACCCCCAATCTCTTAAATGTCTACTGCTTTCTACAAGCAAAGCTAAATCCACCATAAAATATTACACAGCATTCTATGACTTCTAAGATTACATGAAATAATTCTTATGTGCCTGATCTTGGAGTTTTCTTTCATTAAAGCAAAATCATCTCTCTCTAATTCAAACCCTCTTTAGGAGCACTACAATACATGGCTCCTGAGATTATAGACAAAGGCCCGCGAGGCTATGGTGCCCCCACAGATATTTGGTCTTTAGGCTGCACCGTTATTGAAATGGCAACAGGGAAGCCGCCATTCTATGAATTAGGGGAACCCCAAGCAGCCATGTTTAAGGTAAGATTACTTTCAAATCCCTCTTTTCTACTACAGGCACCCTCTTATTTCTTTCTGAAACCCTATTATCTAAAGGGAAAATCGGGTAGCATGTCAGAAGAGACAGTGGCCATATTACTGTGAAATCTGCTACAAAAACCTGAAAGGGTGAACAGGATGAATCAGTAAAGTTTGGATAATTGTATGGTTCCACCCTTCAACATTCAGGTCCCAATCCACATCACCCTGCAGCTTTGCCTCAGTTTTGGCCCCTAGTTTGTACTTATTTATCTCAGTTTGTACTACGAGTTCAATTGTTTTGTTTTGAATGCTACATGCATTCAATGCCTTAAGTTTTGTCCTTTCGTTATTTTTGTAATCTCTAGACTGATCTGCTAATTTGCTCTTAGATCTGTATCTACTGTCCCCCCTTGCTGAGGTACCACCCCAGAAGTCTGACATTGAACCTCTTTCAGGATGACAGTATAGAATTATTGAATCTCTATAGTGCGGAAGCAGGCCAGTCAGCTCATCAAGTCCACATTGACCTCTCAAAGAGCATCTGGCCCGGATCCATCCCCACCTTCCCTTCCCCTATAGCTCTGCATTTCCACTTAGCCTGCACATCCCTGCATGGCAAATCAACCTCCTCTGCACATCTTTGGGCTGTGGGAGGAAACCAGAGCAACCCACAGGAAACTCAAGTAGACACGGGGAAAATGTGCAAACTCCACACAGACGGCCGTCCAAGCGTGGAATCGAACCGGGGTCTCTGGCATTGTGAGGCAGCTGTGCTAACCACTGAGCTGCCATATTGCCCCTTGTGCTGTCAGCCCTGTCACTCTCCCAGTTTCCTTAGTGTTGCTTGTCAGCGAGCCAGCCTGGAATACTGCCACATCTGGTTCAAAGCCAGGTCTTCTCATCCCAGAGATAGTAGGAACTGCAGATGCTGGAGAATCCGAGACAACAAGGTGCAGGGCTGGATGAAC